CCCATTCTCTTTGTCAACCAAGCTGTTGCTGCTCCAAACTCCCTGGGAGCATTTGTCAGGCAGAGCGTTTTCCTAAGGTCACGAGGCAGCTCAGAAGGGCGGCCCATGGCTCACTCTCGGAGCTGGACAGGATTTCTACCCCGTAGTTTTCCTTCTAAAATTACCGGCAGTGGGGGGAGTCCCCCAAAATGAAGGCAAAAGTGAAGGAGGGAGGGCTCTAACAGCAACAGAAATAGCTAACCAACAGCAAATCCTTCCACGCCAGCCAGGCACTGAAGCACCATTAGTCCTCACAGCTGCATGTGGTAGGTACTATTTATTACTACTTCTATTTCACACCAGAGAAAACTCAGGCTCAGAGAGGTTTAAAAACCAGTCAAGGTCACATAGGTGAAAGAACCAGAGGTAAACCCAGCGACTTGGTTGGAGTCCACACTCAAGATTGCTTCCTCAACTGCGCTTGCCCGGGCAGGCAACGGCCCACTTTTCCTCACCACCCGCCTCTTTGACCAGGGAGTTACTGGCCACCTACCTGAGGGAACATGCAGCCACGCACGTGAATCCCAGAGTTCTCCTTGAGAGGCTCCAACCAACCAGTGACTGGGCATTTACCAAACACCTAGACTCTCCACGCCCTTCCTTCAACCAAACAGGCATTGGAGGGGCAGCCCTCCTTTGTTCTAGTTTTCTTACCACACTGGCATATAGGAAGGGATTCAGTACCAGCCATCCCAAGATGTGCTACTTTGGCACGTGAATTCTTCTGAGCTGAAGGCCACTGAGATCCTTTCACTGCTCCCTTCAAGATTTTAAATTGGGGACCTTGACCATAGTAAGAGTTACTACCAGAAATCACTTTTTATGACCCATCTACAGGGCAGGGCAAACTTCCAATTACTAAACACCTGTTCTGGTCATCCTGCAAATGAATAGCCCTTCTTCCCCCCGCTCAAGCCCCAAAGTGCCTGACCTCCTTCTTGGCTAAGGACGCCATACATGCCTCAGTTCCCCGTTCTGTCTGAACTCCTCACGTATGTAAGGTTCCCATATGTATGCATGTCATTAAATGTGGCTATTTTCCTCCTGGTAATCTGTCTCATGTAGACTTGATTACTAGAACAGCGGGAAGAACCCTGAAGAGCAGAGGAAATGTCCTCCTTCCCCACAATGTACTCTGAATACCTAGAAAAGCACTTCTGAGGACCAGTTCCTCACAGCAGCACGTAACATTTCTTCAAAACCACTCCACGAGGTTCCATTTATGCTATTTCCTCTTCCCTTTTCTGCCCCACTGCCAGCTGTGAGCACTCAGATTCAGGGAAAGGAAGCAAAGATATGTAAAAAAGAAGCACTGACTGTCATGAAATTCCAGATGCAGACTGTTATGAAAAAATCTGTCCCATGACTCTTAACTGCAAGTTTCAAGATGAGGAAATTAGGCCGCCCTTGGGCTTACACCACAGAAGGTTTCCAAAGACTTGACGAGCAGCCCATCGGCTCCTCACTCCTGCAGAGCTCTCACACAGGGCTGTGCCGAAGCAGTGTGCGTGCAGATCTGTCTGTAGCTGGAGGGGGGCAGGCAGAGAAGGGACAGTGAGGAGGACCTTCCCACGTCCCGGGAGCCCTCGGAGCAGCTACAGAGAGCCAACACACAAGCTCAGGAGCCATCCGGAGCCCACAGGCTGGATGCCACAAGGCTGCTTGATGAAGAGGGCTTCTTGGTGCCCCATGCCCACAGGACACCTTGGAGACCCCTCTTCCCACACAAAAAGTACGAGGTCTGGGATTTTGGAGGCATTCCTTCGCTCAACTGCGGCTTGCCTCTACACATACTCCATTTGTGTTGTGCTGCACAGGTAGTGAACTCTAGAGTAAAGGAAGTGGTGAATAAAGCTAACAGGGGATGAGAAAAACGAGGACATGCCTTGTATTTTTCTGACATGGAAGCTATGCACAGTAAACAAAGGGGTCCTCATTCCCTCAAAGGAATATGCTCTTTCCCATTTTTCTTGAGACAAGAGCCTCTCGATCTAACTTTTGTTATTCCATTTTGGATGGACACACCTGTAGAAAGCCCTGTTACTCGAAGAGAAACAAGTTTAAATGTGATTGTCCCTGCCTGAGGGAGTGGTGGAGACCTGGAGGGCCTTCGGGAATTCTTGACTATTTGAAATCTCCTGAATTTCAGTGTTGGTTTACTTTCCTTTTTAATGCTGTGCTGGCCTGATAAAGCATCTCAGTTAGGTAGCCGTGGCCCATGAACATAGTTTGTAGCCAGGGCAGTCGAACGTGGTAAAAAGATAGCTTGCCTAGATTAACCAACTCTTGGGTGTGCAGCTCCACTGTCTGCCAAGGGTAGTGTGGCTGAAAACTCTAAGACCCCACAGATTTGAATTTAAATCCTGGCTCCACTTCCACTAGCTGCAAGACCTCAAGTCAACTATTAGCCTCTCTTAGCTGCAATTCCATCTGCAAAATGGGCTGATAATAACCAACTATGAGACATTTGTGAGAATTCAAAACATGTGCCTATGTGAAGACTACCATGAACTCTCAACAAACGATAAATGTCCTTCCCCAATATCACTAAAGAAACGACTTGGCAAGGCTTACTTAGCATCTTTACATTTCAATGTTCTCTTCTGTTAAAAACTAGAACAAGCCTCCAGCACTGCTGCTCCACCTCACAGGATGGGACACAGAGATGTAGATGAAAGCAGAGGGACTATGTATTAAAAGTTATTGACTTGATTGCCAACACCCTTTCTTCCCATTTCTTCCCACTATATACCAACAAAGCAGTAATTTGCTTTTCTGGTGTGTGTATACCTGTAAATAACATGATGCAGAAAGACGATAGTGTCTCATTGTGGTAATTCCTTAAAATGGTTATTAGCAATGTACTCTCCAGAGTCCAAGCCCACCGTCCTCAAACAGAGGATGGAAAACATTACCAGGTCACTGCCAGGAAAGTTTCTTTTCCCTCTCCATGGTCTTGTTTTTGAGAACTGAGGCAGAAAACAAAGTCACATAACAGCTGCGTCTTTCTGTCACACAGAGAAAACTAAACCTCGAGCCAATTTCACTTTCGTCATAACCTCACTACGATATTTTCCAACTGCAAGGAGACCTGTTAGTTCTCTCATTCTCCCACCCACTGTGAGGAGACCGGGGCATGCTTCGGCACTCCCCCACCTGAATCCTTGAAGCATCCTTACAGCTTCTTTCACTGTACGCTAGTAAGGCTGCACTAGGCAAGGTCCAGGCTGAGGGGGGTCGTCTAATTTCAACTTTCAACTATCAGAAACGGCAATTACTTGCCTTGTTTTCTCTTAAAAGAAAGAGGCATTAAAATCAGATCTGAGAAATGCAGGTCTATCTTTGAGGAGTATGTCGCCCCTTCCTCCCTCTACTGAACTTTAATATCTTCCTCAAACAATCATCACTTTTCCACATTACTAATAACAGAATGAGGAGGAATCGTATGATAAACCCAGAGGTGGGGAAACAAAGTGGGATGAATGCTGCCCACATCCCCCTCCTTGCAAGCATGGTTCTCGGAAAGGAAAAGAATAACGAAGAATATTTTAGGAGTCAGTTCTTTGCAAAGTATTTACCCATCGTGATTTCTGAAACAAACAAGGTAAGGACATAAAAAAATAACACACAGATAAGATCTCTTTCAGGTAATAAGATCAACTCGCCTTGTGATTTGATTTATAATGTACTTTTAATTGATGTATACTGTGCTTCCACAAGTGTACACAAATTCTAAATGTATATGACTGTGTTCACTGCTCTGAGCTGTTTTTTGATGTGCATAACTTGGAAAGGCTTTGGGCAGTTCAGAAAAACTGCTAAAACATTTTCCCAACCTGTCCCTCTGCCGACAACTCACCCCAAGGCCAGCTAATACCCTTTGTATAAAAAAGCTGACCCAGCATCCACCTGTATCAACCTGATCCGCTGGGCTCTGTCACATCAGCAAACACACCCTGTCCCTTCTGAGCCAAATAAAGCAGCACCCCAGGAGAGAGAAAAAGACTTTCTATGAGTCTAGAGAGGCAGACTTTGCACCCAATTTATGAAGGTCTGTGGAACATTCGCAGTTAACTTCCAAACCTACTTTATGGAAAAAAAAAAAAAAAGCTTCACAGCTGGGGGTGGTGGTGATACTCTTAAAGAAAAACACCCACCATACAAAAGTAGAGAGAACAGTTTAAGAAATTCCATACCCCATACCTTCACCCAGTCTTTCATCTCGTCCCCCCTCACTTCCCCACTGACAATGCTTCTCAAAATTGGATTTTGAAACAAATCCTCAATTTATGCTTCAATTTCAATATTTCTAAAAGACAAGAATTTTAAAAAATATTTTATTCATTTATCTTTAGAGGGGAAAAGAAGGAGAGAAGGAGAGAAGTATCAATGTATGATATTACCCCCCCTGCGGGGGGACTGGCCTGCAGCCCAGGCATGTGTCCTGGCTGGAAACGGAACTGCGATCCCTTAGTTTGCAGGCCCGAGCTCAGTCCACTGAGCTACACAAGCCAGGGCAGACAAGGATATTTTTTTAAAAGCACATAATTATACCATTACCTAAACTAAAGAAAACGAATCTCTTAATGCTACAAAATAACCAGTACAAATTTCCTTTATTGACTCAATTTCTTTACAAACTTTTTCGGTGGGTATCAAGTCAAAATCCAAGCAAGGTTCACACATGGCATTGCACTGCGGTGCTATGTCTCTTAGTTTTTTAAACTACAGGTTTCCTCATCCCTGTGATTTTCATAGACCCAGGCTCATCCCCACCAGCAACTCTTAATAACCTCTGTATCAGCCATTTTTATAATTAAAGAAGTTTTAAAAAAATCTGGAAAAGCATGAGCGAAATGGTTTGACCTGAAGCAATTAGTAACTGAGGGTCAAACACTCATTCACTCGTCCTTTGCGATTCTGATCTGCGTGGGTTTATTTCTGGGATTTCAGCCCCTTACCCGAGTCATGTGCACAGAGTAGGGCGAAGAGAGTGCGTTTCCTCCCAACTGGACCTTTCCTGTGCAGACCGGGTCCTCAGGGTCACCTCCGGAATGCAGGGACCCGGCGGGTCCTGCCGCCACCTACCAGGCTCCTTGGCCAGGTGAGAAAAGGAGCTTCAGCCAACAACTTCCGGAGGGTGGTCCCAGGTTACCCAGACAGAATTATGAACCAGTCCGAGTTGTTCGAAGAGGTACCAACGGGGACGCCACTACCGCCGAAGACAAACAGCCCTGCGACGCCCAGGGGTTTTAATCCCCTAGCCGCGAGCTTGCGGAAGCCCCGCCCCCAACTCCCAAAGGCCAGGAGAAAGGTGCAAAGTTCACTCTAACACACACGTGGGCGTGTGTACGTAACTGTCGACGACATCCCACCCATCTGTGTGCCAGGAAGGAGAGTAAAAATTACATAAACCTACTTCTATAACCTCACCTGTTTTTACAATGCTTCGAAGCTATCTCCCTTGGAAACAGGATGCGAATATATGCCTGACCCAGGCCACCAAGTTCATTAGCGGTCTCCCAGGTGCCCCAAACCCATTACAGCGCCAGGCGCCCAGGCTAGCGAAAACCCCAAGCCTAATCGGTCCGGCTTGGACGTCGGTGGCTTTCTACCACGGGCCCCGCCCTACACCAAGACCTCTCAAGTCGTAGAGAAACCCAGCCTCTGAATCCCTGGAAGGGAAATTTCTGTCCTGCCCCGCCAGCGCCCATCTGGGGAGCTGCAAGTGGCGCGGGTGCCGTGGACCACCCTCACCCCTGTCTGGGGAGCAGACGGCGCCAGCCCTTCACACTCACCCGCGTCTTCCGTGTCCCTGGCGCCGGGTGTCCTACCAGACACGAGAGGAGTCCACCACCTCGGCACCTGCAGCGCTCCGCCCCAGGTGACCACGGAGGTGGGGGGAGTCGGGCGGGCCGAGGTGACCCCTGCAGCCGCCCTGCCCCTCCGACCAGGAAGTGCGGGCAGGGGCTCCGCAGGGTTTTAGCGCGCACGCCCCGACCCCGGAGGGAGATCTGCGGGAGGGCGCCGCCTGCTGGCGGGGCGGCGAGAACCCACGAAAGCATCACGGCAGACCGTGGGAGAGGAACTGGGGTTGGGGCTGGCAGAAGCGTCGGGAAGCACCCTCAATAGGAGCCCTGTAGGGCGGACCTTTGGAGGAGGCTCGCGCTTCCCGCTGGAAGTAGGTCGCCTGGCTCAGTCTGTGCTGGGCAGGGGCAAGGAATTTAGGCGAGAGGTGTTGCTCAATCTCAGCTTTTATTAAAAGCAGGCTCACACGAGAAACAACATCAACATAACATTAATAGCCTATCCTCTGTAATATTACACACAGTTGACACACACTGAGCAATGCGGGGGTTAATGAATCCGACCCCCAGAGTCTCAGTCCCAGGTCCTGTAGACGGTCAGCAAGGGGGAGGGGCGTGTCTTAGTCCCATGGGAGCAGTGGAGCTCTATTAGTAGGTGTCCCCTCTCTGCAAATACATGTATGTGCCCATATCTGGGGTGTGCACCCTGGCAGGCATTTCGCAGGGTGCCTGAAGAGGCTTGGCAGTTTCCTTCCCGAATCAGAGGTGTTACAGCTGATTGGCAGCCATCTTGGTTGACATGAGTGTTGCCATTTTGTTTTACATAGTTGAGCCCAGCGCGGGTCTGCAACCTTTTTGGACCCAGGGACCAGTTTGTGGAAGACAATTGTTCATGGATGGGTTGGGGGTGTTGATTTTGAGATGATTCAAGCATATCACCTTTAAACTCAACTCATGCTGTGTAGCAAGGTTCCTAACAGGCCCAGACTGGTACTGGTCCCTAGCCTGGAAGTTGGGGACCCCTGCTTTGAGCTTATCTTGACTGGACCAAAGGCCAATTTTTTGGTCCTGCTCTCTGCAAGAAGGGACACCCCCAGGGTGCGGGGTGGAGGATGTCAGAAGCAGAGGCTCCCTGGGACTCAGTGAGACCCACTTCCTTGTGCCAGGCCTTGAGGCCTCAGCCCAATTTGCTCCCATCTCACCAGCTGGATGGGCAGGGTGGTCATTGGCAGTGGTCTCCAGATGGGAGTGTGTATGAACAGGGTGATAGAAGTTGAAATGTGTATGCCACTAAGCAAACGTCTGTAGTGCTCTAAGAATCCCAATTTTAAAATAAAAATCTGGAAATAGCATTTATACAAAGCACACTGACACTGCATTGGTTGATGCTTTTTTGCATCAACAGTGCTAATTTGCCATTTAACAAATGTTTGTTGAGCATCCAGTGTAATGGGGTACAGAACGAGGGTCCCTGAAAACAAGAGCATATTCCCCACAAACCTGGATTGGGGGTCAGGGAGAAGTGGATGATAAGGCAGTTAAGATACTTTGCAGAATCATGGCAAGTTAATAGCTGTGCTGTTGCCCTGGGCAAAGGTGTACATGACTTTGAGAGCATCTAGTGACTGTGACATAGCCAGGGGAGGCAGATGCCCACCCCAGATGTCTGTGTGTCATGGGGAACTCTTGCGCTAACTAAAGATGGCAGCTGAAAGAAGGTAAAATATACGGGGGAACTGGCAAAAGTAGCACATCATAGGAAGGGCTGGATATGAGGTCATGTAGGAAGTTGCAGGCTGAGTATTTAAAATAAGGACAGGCTGAAAGGGAAGGGGTTTTACCACCATGTGGCCTGGGTTATTAAGGAAGGAGGTCATGAGGTCTGGTGTGGAGGATTTCCACCGTGAGGGCTGAAAGAGAGGGGAACAAGCCACACAGGAGGGAAGGCTGTGAGGAGAGAGATGATGGAGCTGTGTGGGGATCTGCCTAACAAAGCACGGATTCATGGAAATGCTTGGAGCAGAACTGTGACTGGGAATGCTGAACTACAGCCTTCAGCTTCTCTGAAGTATGTACAGAGAAGCCACTCTCTGGGGACATGTGCCTCCCTGGACCATGATCCAGTGTAACATGGCACATGTTTTCCTGAACCATTAACATGGAAGCTGAGAACAACATACCCCAGATCCTGAAAGAGAGAGCTACTGCAAGAGGATGGTGACTCTGAAACCCATAAGAGCACCTTCCAGAGGGGATGGAGACCTGTTTGTGCAGCTGGCTTAAGAACAGATAAGGATTTGGGGAACTTCTGGGCATGGTTCTGGCTTGCAGCCTGGTGGGAAGCAAGGGAAGTGCTAGGTTTCATGGAGAACAGGGCTCTGAGCAGGTATGCTCTCAGCACCCACTACCCTGAGGTTGGAATCCTTAAACAAAAAACCTGTTTCTTTCAACACTAATTGTTGGGTCATGCATCAAGGCACTATGTGGATGAGCCCCAATTTGCTCAGTCACATTAGGACTTGCCATTTAAGCATTTAAAATAGGGTACAATTTCCTCCTTCTCTTTTTCTTATAGAGCTTTGAACAAGGGTAGTGGTCTGGGTCTTTCTTAACCACCCTGAGGGCCTGGACTGGCTTTGCCAGGAACTTAGTGAAGGCCTGCCAGAGGGTGCAGTAAGAACTGCAGTAGAAGTGTGGGCTGCTAGTGCAACTGAGGAAGGGACTGACCCAACTTGGAGAGGCTGGACAGGAATTCCTGGAGAAGGGGAGAGGTGAGCTGAGGCATGAAGGACTACAGGATTCCCCAGGATGGGAAGGGCTTCTGCCAAGAGTCCACTGTGGACAAAGCCAGAGGCAGAAAGCTGGGTAGAGAATGCATGTTCTGACAGCAGAATGGCAAGTGAGTGTGTATAGCTGAAGAGAGGATGTAAGCTGCATTAGAACGGGAGGCATAGGGGCTAGATCATGCTCCTATCAAAAATAACAGCTGCCATCCTGAGTGGGTGGCTCATGTGGTTGGAGCAGAGTCTGGTTCACCAAAAGTTAGCGGGTTTGATTCTAGGTCAAGGCACATACCTAAGTTGTGTGTTTGATTCCCCAGTCTGGCGCATATAAGAGGCAATCAACTAAAGTTTCTCTTTCACACTGATGTTTCACTCCCCACCCCCACCCCCTGGCTTTCCTCTCTCTCTAAAATTAATAAGCACATCCTTGGGTGAGGATTAAAAAAACAGCTGCCATCTATGGAACCTCTAGTATGATACAGGAGCTGGGCATCCATCACTTCAACCTAGGCTCACACCCAACCTACAAGGTAGGGTTATTACTCCCCTTACAGAAGAGGAAAAGGGAGACTAGACAGGTGAGGTGCCTTGTTAGTGACAGGGCTGGGAGGAGGTGTCTCTGAAAAGCCAGCCTGCACCCATAATGCTGCTTTCCGAGCCAACCCAGAAGGCTGAATTTGTCTTCGAGTCTTCCCGGCATGCCCCAGTATCCCCAAATGCCCACTTCTCTCTCTCCATTCCCAAAGCCCGTGTCACCAACTGCTCTTACACCCTTCCCATCTAGAAAAGGATATGGCTGTGCACACCAGGCTCCTTCCCAAGGGGAGCCCTGTCTCAGGGGCTGGTGGAGGAACTGTGGCAGAACCCCTGGTTGTTTCCCAATATCCATTCTCTCCCTCCATAATAATAGGGTAGAAGCTGAGCCCAGAGCTACATAGAACAACTACATTTTCCTCTCCTGCAGCAAAATTTTCCGGCAGTGGTGCCCAAAGTCCCTAGAAACCACTTAATCCAGAAGCACTTCTGAGGCAGCTGTGCCTCCCCCAACATACTCCATCTGTCAGATACTCTTCACGGCACAGATATTACTCACTGCTGCCTCAATAGCCACCTCCCATTCTTCCTTTCTAGGAGAACTCAGATTTTGTTCAGGAAGACTGCATGCCACACTAAATGCTTGGCCTTCCCAGAGGTACGTGTAGGGCAGTCACGTGACTTAATTCTGGCCAGTGAGATTTAGCAGGAAGTTGCCCAGAAGGTCCTGAGAAAGTTTTTGCTTTCCTGATGCAGACGTCACCATCTGTTCTGGCAGTGAGGTTGCTGTGAAGCTGGAGGGGAGTAGCCCTTTTATGACCACAATGCAACACTACAGAGAAAAGGGGGAGCAGCATCTACCAAAAAATGCCTAACTTTAGACTTTACTGCATGAGAAAAATAACCCCCTTCCTCGTTGAAAGCACACTTGGTTAGGGTTTGTTACAAGCAATTGAATGTCATCCGAATGGGTACACTATTGTTTCCAAAGAAAAGCCTCAAAAATCATCTAGCCAGCTTTCAATAATACAGAGTGTATAGCAGAAAAAGTGTGCATTTTGCATGAGGCAATCCAAGAAAGGGATTTGGCACTTTCAATTTTTAAGGTAATGACCTTGTGGAAATTTGTGAAATTAGATGCTGTATTGTAAAATTTAAAGGT